ACAGGAATTTTCTGCATGTCATTTTTAGTTCTGATATATATTATTTATAGTATTCTCCTGCCTCTTCACAGGTCTATTAATTTTTATGGTATGTCAGATATAATGAATAGAAGAATCATAGAGGGTTCAGATCATTTTATCTTTTACTATAGAATGTTCTCTATATATTTAAGTAAATATAGTGAGGTATGATCATCTCAACCCAATAAGAAATTCATTAGGGACAAAACTAGATTGCAATATTTATGTTATTTAGTCCACTTCTGATTTTCACTGTTTCAAGGGCATAAACCTCCTTGATTTTTGAAAAGAACCCTGATAGGGCTCTGTCTAGTAAGCCCCGGAACAGTAAATGTTTTCCACCTCCATTCCTTCAAGTTCAGTCAATATATCCTGTCCCCAAGCAAACATCTTGAACTCCTGACAGATAATATTCTGGATGCAAAAGCTCTCTCACCAGCAGGTCTTAGTTCCTAAGCACCAAGAAACTCTTGATACTTAACTGTGCAATTTAGAAGCTTTCAGCTTCGTTCCCCTGCAGCTCCAGAACTTGTCTGGGGAGAACAAGTGTTTGGGTCCCTTCAAGTTTCCAAACTGGGTATCAGCCCCATTTAACTGCTAGAAGTTTAGGTGGTTACTCGTACCCTCAGCAGAGTCCTGCTGCTTCAGCAAGATTCGGGTTGAAAAATGGCTAGAGGTAGTCCTCTGACTACTCCACTCTCAAGAGTTACGGTTTATTTCATCTCTGCTACTTCCGCAGCTCTCTCATGGAATATGAGAGAAATACGAATTTTGTAATTTATCTGTTTATTTCACGTTGTTGCAGTGCGAGCATCACCCTGTCAGCATGTGTGTATCCTACTTGGAAATCTGTTACACTCTATCTAGAAGAAGAAAGAGTCAAGTAAGGAATCTTTTGGTGGCAAGTAGCAAGCAACTCAATGCAAACTGGCTTCAGAGGAAAGGAATATATTGTTTCATCTAATTGAAAAGTCCATATGTAAAGCTGGTTCCAGCCAGTCTACAGATTAAAAAAAACAAAAAAAACCCCTCATTGGCTGTAGTCAGTTATGTGCCCATAACTGTCTTAATTATCACCCAAACTAAACGGCCTTAGAGTAGGGGATGCATGATTCCTCAGAGAAAAATCTGCATCATGTTATGAGAAAAAAATAAGTAGACTGTGAGCAGTATGAGCAATTGTCCACTATGCTGAACCCGTTCAGCTGTCATTCATCTATTTGTCTTCTCAACTGCCATAGTTCAGACCACCATTTAAGCACTGAAATGCACTATTTTGATTTGAGTATTGCTCAGATTAAGCAGAAACCTTGTTTTCAATACTCTGTTGGTACCCAAAGCACAAAAATTCATGCCAGACAGCTAACAGATAGTTAATAAAACTTGTGACTTTGTTGGTACTGGGCTAAATTATCTGACTGCATCTCACACTGCAAGTCAGCAACTGAAGAAGGATGAGCTCCTCAGTTTTCAACTCTAATCATGTGCTAGTAAGTGCTGTCAGAAGAAAGCACTTTAAAATAAGCCGTGGGTTATTGTTGTATATTTTATGCAGCACTCTTCTAAAGAAAAACTAAATGAGAAAATGGGCTGAGGGTGCCTAGCTGATCTGTGAGCCATTTCACTGATGTGTAATAGTGGGTTCAGCACGCCTGCACTTGCTGTGACATCACACATCCCATTTTCCACCTTCCAGGCAGGCAATTATGGGAAAGACTTCAGTGCTGCTCTCCAAGAGACTTGATTGTGGGCTGAACAGAACTATGTCAGAAAGGCAGCCCTATTTCCTCCCAACTACTTGATGTGTCTCTCCCAACAAAGGAAATGATTTTTTTGAATTCTTCCTTTCACCTGCTTGCTGCCAGAAAGCTCATAAAAGAGTCTACACTTTGAGCCTGAGCTTGAAACTAGAAACTGACTTACACAGTCAGTGGAGGGTTGGAATTAGCAGACCACACTATTTCCAGTATGTGCGGATCCCAGTGGCTGTGTTGACTAAAGGCATTTGGAAGAAAAAGACTTAAAGGAATTAATAAATTAGAGCAAACACAGAGTGTGATGATAAAGCACACAGTCATGGGAGTCAGAATCCTGGCTCTGCCACTGGGTGGCCTTGGGCCTCAGATTCCTAATTTGTATCATAGAGCTATTGTGATTAATTGGAATAATGCATTTGAAGTGCTTAGCATGATGCCAGGCACAACCAATAAAAAACAGTCATTATTGATATTTTTATTGAATTATGCAGGGAACTTTAGGGATAGCACCACCAAATATTTATCACCATGGTAATGAGCTAGTGTGGCAACAGCCACAGACAAGTGCTACAGATAAGCAGAACAGGCTCAAGGATTAGGCTTCTTAAAATGTGTCCATACGTATTTTTTCTGCACATTAAAATGCCCAACCAAATTGTTTTTAATGTTTGCACATCCAAGGGCAGAGGTTATCATTTAAAGTTAACACAGGGGAAAAATTATGGGCGCATTCCTAGGAGTACCTGTGTTGATCAGGATTCATTCAGTTGCCAAAATCTCCTTAGACTGCAGCATACAAACTCTTATGGTAAATGCTATTTTTTCAAAAAATAATTAGGAAGGAGCAAGGTGGAATGACTTGTATTTTATTCGCTTATTTACCCTGCATCTGTTGTTAATCCATAACCCATCCTAGATTGAAAGCAATTAGTATGTAAGCTCTATCCAATTTCTGTGTTCCAAGGTTTGGCTTCTTTCCTCTTCCCCTGTTTGGAACCTCATCCCTAAGAATATTCTGTTCACCTCGTTATCACAGATTATTTATTCATTTGTGACTGATTTGAAAATCTTATCTAGGATATGCCAGGCCCTATGCTACAGACATAAGAATATGGGCCCTGCTCACAATCCAGTGGAGGAGAAGGTAAGGAAATAGAATATTTTTAACACAAGAGAAATATTTACAGATTGTGAGAAAGTAATGGGATCTGAGTCTTAGATGATGGATGGGAGTCAGGCAAGCAGGTCAAAGAGTGAGGATCTTGGCATGACCAAAGGTACAGAAGTAAGAAATAGCTCAACATGGCAAGAAAGTAAAAGCCATTAGATGTTGCTCCAATGGAAGTTCAAAGTGATGAGTGACAAAGGACTTCTGGAGAAGTAGACAAGGGCAAAACAGTGAGGTGCCTCTCTCTCACTTTAAGAATGTTGAGCTTTTTTCTGTACATAGTGGGGAGCCTGAAGGGTCCTGGAGCAAGAAGTGACATGGTTAGATTTCACATATTAGATAGGTTTCAGAGGGGAGGACAGCATTCAAGGCTACGGCCAGAGGCAAGACCAGCTGGGAATCTGTTTAGATAATCCAGCCTAAAAACTTGAGAGCCTGAATGTAGGCAGTAATGGCTGACAGAGAGGAGACTAAGCAAAGTATATCCAGGAAAGATAAACCCTGAAGTTCTTCCAAAAGAATCCTTAAAAAAAGTACTAAGGAAAACATTTGAAAAAGAGAGTATTTTCTAACGTATAAGAAATAGAAACCAATGAATCTAGATAATATGTATCATAAGGTAAAGTTATGCTGGCCTCATACTTTACCAGATACTTATGTCCTACAAGTTTTCCTGGCCTCTGTCCTATCTCTGTTTGTTCCTGCAGCAGACTTGGGGTGGCACTGCAACTAGCAATGGAGGCTTCCCCAGCAGCCTTTTTTCTCCTTCTAAGTACCATGGAGTCAGGTCTTCAGGCCTTGGATCATGAGGCCATTTCTATGCATCTTATGCTTACACACACACACACACAGACACACACACACACTGGAATACTACTCAGCCATAAAAAAGAATGAAATAATGCCATTTACAGCATCATGGATAGACCCAGAGATGATCATATGAAGTGAAGTAAGTCAGCCTGAGAAGGACAACTACATATGACATCACTTATACGTGGAATCTGAAAGAATGATACAAATGGACTTATTTACAAAACAGAAAGAGACTCACAGACAGAGAAAACAAACTTATGGTTACCAAAGGGGAAAGGGGGGAGGGATAAATTAGGAGTTACCAGTATCTTTTTATTCTGCACTGTTTCAGAGAAGCATAGTATAGGGTGGGGAGAAAATTATACTCTTCACTGGCAAATGTTTTTGTTCTCCTATGGTCCTAAACCAAGAACCCCACAAGCCAATCTGGTATACTATCTCTCTTAATAAAGTTTTACTGGAACACAGCCACACCCACTCACTCAGGCATTTTCTCAGCCGCATGTGTGCTGCCATGCAGAGTCGAGAAGTTGCCCCAGACACTTGAGACCACGTGTCTCAGAACCCTAAAATATTTGCCACACTGCTCTTTACAGGGAACATTTGTTGACCCTATTTCTAAACCATCATTAAGACTGACTTTTCTTGGTAGTCACACGTATAACAGAGTAAATGCCTGCTATGCTTAGCGCCTTTGGAACTCCACCCAGCTCCCTTCCACACCTGCTATGTCCCAACCTTCGCGCCCATTTTCCATACGAGGACCACCTTGTCTTCAGTTTCACCAACATCCCCCCTCTCTCCACAGTGCACCCTAGTGACCATCCAGCATTCTAGTAATAAGTTCTACAAAATGTCTACAGAAAATTGTTTTTTATATATGGTGTTAATTTTTAAAATTTGCCCAGTAGCAAGACATGGAGGAGCACTGAGTGGTTAGGTCTATGTAAAATGGTGTAATTAGTTTTTCTCCTTTGTTCTCTTTCCTACAAGGCATATCAGCAGAGCAAAAGACTGGCGAGGAAGCAAAGCTGAAACACTTCAATAATCCTTATACCAGAAAAGCAGCTCATAATAACTAATATTTAGCTGCAACAGCTCTGAAGGCAAATACAACGTCCTTGGTTTTCCTACAATGTAGTAAGATAACTTACTTTAAGTTCGTACTTGAAGAAGTATTATGTTAAGAGACATTATCATTTAATAATTCAGAACAAGGATCGTTTGCCAAATCCTACCTTTGTCACTCATTTGCTTATGTCACTTCTTTGTATCTCAGTCTTCTCGCCTGTAAAACAGGAATAATACTATTGTTTATATAACAGTTTTATGAACATTACATGAGGTCAGATACAAAAAATACTTAGAACAGAATTATAAGATTAATGCTATCTCTTTGTTATTGTTTTTATTTTTATTTCCTGCATTTTGTTTGTCTCTATTTTCAAAGTAATGAGTATTTTCATTTAGAAGAGAGTCCAGCCATATTCTGACTGAATTTCTACTTTTACACACCGCTTCCATCCCATTTCACCTGTTACACTGGGTCATACTTGACTCTCTCCTAACCCCTTCGCACTTGCTGATCACAACCAAAGTTTCCACCCTTGGCAAAAGATCTCACCAACTGAGTAAGTGGAATCAGGGGCGTGGACGTGGAGAGGCCAAGACCTGAAAACAGTGGCTATTTGACCACTTTTCCAGGGCCCACTCCCCCAACCTCATGAAGGCAGGAATTGCATCTTGTTCACATCTCTGTACCAAACCCGTAAATGATGTCTCATAGGTGTGCATGAATATTTATGGAAGGTTGAAATAAACTGCACAGGGAAGCGAAGGCCAGTGAGGGAGACAAGGGTGGGGACTGAATGCTGAGCCTTCACCAGCAGCTGTTCCTCTGACCCCGTGGTCAATGATCAGTATGGAAAATGACTACACCAGGGCGACAGGGATCATTGAAAGCAACAGCACAAGTTGAAGGTAGCAAAGTTAAGCAAAAATCAGGGGAATGTTTTCTGGGAAGAATGGCTCAGGGTCAATTTTGCATGTACTAGAAGTTTGCCAATTCCAGATATATACATACAAATATAGGTACTATCTAATTAGACAAGAACCAGGTATTACTTTCAAGTTTCAGTAAAGAAGAACCATTTATTCCTAATGTGTCTGATAATGTTTCCACTCTTCTGGTATTTGGTAATCACTTATGTGGCTAACCATTTATTTGCCATTATTAATTCAGCCTAGGCCTATTAAGCACATATATGATGCCATGCATTCTGCTACAGACGGAGGACGTTCTTAAAAAACAAGAAAATGAATAGCACACTGCTCCTGCCCCTGTTCTGAAAGAATGCCACTTGAAAGATAAAAATGTTCAAAATGACAAATAATATAACACGGTAAATGCTAATCTGGGCAAGGAAGAAAGGCAATTGGCGAAAGGAGAAGAGAACTGTTACACTCTCCTACCACGGACATCCCTGATGACTCTAGAAATGGGAGACATTTCAGTTGACCTTTGAAGCTGAAATTTGACAAGCAGTGAAGGAGTAAAGTATATGTCAGGCAGATGTGGGGAGGGTAAGACAAAGCAAACTTTGGAAATGGCAAGTCATCTGGGTGCCTAGAATATGGAGGATGTACTACGTAGTAACAGGAGAGGAGACAGAGAAGATGTTTGAGGCCAGACTGACAAAGATTTACTTGACACATGCATTGGAAGTCATCAGAGAGATTTTAAGGAAAAGAATGTTGTGCTATATTCCAGAAAATTCAGCTCTCTGACTTGGGAAGATTCCTTCAGTTCTACCTTCATAAGTGAGTTTCCTTATCGGTAAGAGATCATACCAGTGCCTCTCTCTTGTGGCTGTTGTGAGGGCTAAATGAGCTAATACATGCTCATTTAGTACTTAAAACAGTGTCAGATTCATATTAAGTCTTCTTTAAAAATATCTCTTACTATCATCTTCAAGAGTGAACTTCTCATTCGTGACCCACTGTCATGGCGTTTTTGGAAGATCTACTACTTCCCTCCTCCTAGGTCACCCAGAACAGTACTAGATGCTCTGTGTTTGTGCATGGTCCCTGTCAAGATCCAGTGCCAGAGTACGAGCTGTGCTGGCTGCACATACATCAGGGTGCCAAGAGTCCAGAGTGCAAGATGACAAATTATGGGCAGATCAGCTATTAATCACTCATGCCAAACCAAAGAGAAGGCTGTCCACAAGTTTCTGCAAGGTGAGCCTTTTCTCCATTACCTGAACCAACATTATTTTATCCTGTGCTTAGCTTCCTCCAGGATTTCCTTCTGAAACACTTTTTGAAAGAAACCTTGCTCGTCAGATTTGCTGCGATTTTTAAGAAGCTTCCTTCTCTGCTGTTTTTCCATCAGGCAGCTATCTCTGAACTCCTGGAGCCCTGAAGTTCTAGACATGGCCAGCAGAACAAATTGATCTTCTTTATTATATCAAATTTGACCTTTACTTTCCCCCATATTATATTGATATTTGATGTGGCTTTCCATTTTTAAAAGCACCAATATGGTAAAAAGAAACTATCAGTGTCTGATATGCTAAATGCCAGTTCCGGGGACTGACTGCCCAGAGGCTAACTTGGGAACAGCTATCTTTGTTTACCCACTGCAACTCCCTCAATTGAGAAACGATCTCATCACACTGCTCATCTAGGATATAGTTCAGAAAGCAGTCCCCTAAAATGATTAAGCCTCCAAATAATTCTGTTCTAGCCCAGAGCACCTGCGCTGGCCCACAGCAACGCCCCACGGTGCGCCCCTTCCGTCCCTTCTGCAGGCAGTCTCCTCTGCTCAGGCAGACCCCACCACCAAAGTGCCACCTTTAGTCTTTCAAAGGGCCTCAGTATCCTCCCTAGCCTGGATTTCGTTGAACTTAAGTGATTTGTCCTTAAATTAAAATGAGTGGTGAAATAATGTCCTTGACTGGATTCTTTACCTGACAGTGCTAATATGTACTAGACTTTGATCAACTTTTTATGCAAGAGAAGCTTCAAAATCAGTAGCAGATGCAGGACAGAGTAAAACTAATTGTGTATGTGTAAATGACACATGCTGATAAAAAGTACATTTCTGAATACAGCATTCATCTGTTTTATTTATGTGAAATGGACTTACAATAGTACTATTTTGCTCATTCAATCTTTTATTCATTCACTTATTTATTAAATCAGTATCTGAGTAAGGCCACTCTATCATTGAATTCTTTGCTTTCTCTTCTACACTCTCTTAGCTCTTTACAAGTCACTTAAACTAATATTTATTTTTAATAGATAACCTCTAAATATGTCTAATCTTGAAATTACATACTGAGAAATTTTTGTGATGCTAAGATTTGTGTGCAATTATTTTCACTGCAGCATTATTTATAGTAAAAAATGTAGAAACAACCTAAATAGCAGTAGAGGAACAGTTAAATAAATGATGGCACATGTGTACAATAAAGTGCTGTAAAACAATCTCAATGCTCATATGAAATTTTTAATGATGGCAAAATATTCATTTCACAATATTAGTAGGAAAATGATATACAAAACTTTATTCCTAGTCCTAATACAATTTAAATTATATTAAATTTTTATGAATAAAGTGATTATTAACTGATACATTAATAGTGATCATTTCTGAATTAGAAAATTATGAATATTATCTATTACCTTCTTTATGTATGTGTGTGTAATAAGCATACATAACTTTTACGATTATAAAACAAAACTGCAAAGAATTTTTTTAAAGTAAGTCCCTCATGTGTGTCACACTATGTTGCCTCTGTAAAGGAATCAGAAAAAAAATTTAAAAATTGACTGGTTCTCTTGGAGCTTAGAATTTATAGGGGATGCTAAGGAGATAAATGTGATTTTAAAAAAGAACAATACAAAACAGAATTAAAATTAAAACTGAGAAACTGTTCTCTATGGGCTACTACCACTGAAAGAGTGAAGAAATACGGGTTTAGTGGAGGCTCAGGAGCAGGAAATACAGCACGGGAGCAGGCTCAGATGGGTTTGAATGGGTAGAAGGAAAGGAGAGATAAGAGTGCACCAGGGCATGGGGTCAGTCCATGTTCCACCTTTGGTTTTAGGCAACTTTATTAGAGTAGGGTTTATATTACATAATCAGGGTTTGGTTAGAAAAAAAGAAAAAATTCTATTTGAATGTATTTAAAACAGAAACGAATATAGCAGTACAGGAAATTAACAGCTTATGCACATGCAAAGGCCCAGAGAGAGTCAGAATCTCATGTAGAGAGGTAAGAACCTGCAGAAAACCAGTAACACATCACAGTTACCCACACACCTGTGGCAGGTGAATGGCAAATGAAAACAGAGATCATTACAAAACTTATGTCTGTAAAGCCAATAGTCTACTGTCAGAGTAAGAATAAAATAGCTTCTGTCTATTTTCTAAATCTGCTAAATCTAAGTAAGTCTACTAGGCAAAAGGTCAATCCAACCAAAATACAAGAGACAAGGTGGTCTAGAAAATGTAGTTCCCAGGCTTGTAGACTCTGCCACACAGGATAAAGCAGAAAAGGCATAAGGATGAGTGCTGAGTGCCCAACTCCCTCCTCAGACATTTATCACAGATAGTTGTATAAAGCCTTGAAAGCCAAGGTCAGGAGATTAGCGTTTAAAACAGTAGGGTTCTCAAAGCACGTGAGAAAAAGACTGTGTTGGAAAAGTAAGTTGGTTAAGAAAAATGGTCTTACTGTGCCAAATATATTCCAAGCTGCTTCACCAATGCAGGGTATCACCAAAACCCCAAATGACTGCAGAGAACTAAAGGGAAATCAAAAGTGGGGTCAAAGTCAAATGGGGGCACTACAATGGCCACGTGTTCAAATCGCACTACGGGTCTGGAGTTGTTTTACGTGAACCACACAACCACCCTGACCCTTTCAGCCAGTCAATTTGCTCAACAATACTCAGTTAAAAAAAGAAAAGAAAGGCATGAAATCCAACTGGTTTTTAAACTGTTGTTCTAATAGAAGCACGTAGACCCAACGTAACGTAACTGCTTCTACAGTCAACTCTGGTCAAATGAGAAATGTCGCACTCATGCCCACCAGTCTTCCATGGTGATGTTTTTACTCAAATACTATTTTCATATCATCACATGTCTGATTTTCAGTATTTCTCCCAAAGTGGTTTAGGAAGATTATACTTTAGATTTCTGACACATTGTGAATAGGATGATTCTAATATAAATTCCTACATGCTGAAAGGTAATTTCTGTTTAGAAACAAAAAAAATTTC